CCCTTGTACTAGGCTTTCCTTGGCTACAACAGCATGGCCCTAACATTTCATGGTCATGTAAAGAAATTTTAACTTGGGGACCCAGATGTATTAGGAATTGCTGTCATCTCCCCGTAAGAATTGCACTCACGGCGACATCCCCTGCTGGTGTTCTTACCATACCCCCTCAATATTCTGAACTACAGGAAGCATTTAATGAGCAGGAGGCCTTGGCCCTCCCACCTCATCGACCGTATGATTGTGTTATTGACCTTTTGCCAGGTACTATCCCTCCTAAAGGTCGTATATTTCCGCTCTCTAATTTTGAATCTGAGGCCCTGAAAGTTTACATACAAGATTCTCTGAAGGCTGGACTTATACGTCCATCCACTTCACCTGCATGTGCCAGTTTCTTTTTTGTGGGAAAAAAAGGATGGTGGGCTCTGTCCCTGCATTGATCATCGTGGCCTCAACGAGATCACAATCAAGAATCGGTACCCTTTGTCTCTAATTCCAGCAGCACTTGAATCTGTGCATGGGGCCAAGATCTTCACCAAACTGGATTTATGAGGGGCCTATAATCTAATCCGCATTCGGGAAGGGGATGAGTGGAAGACGGCATTCATGACTACCCATGGACATTACGAATATTTGGTCATGCCTTTTGGTTTGGTTAATGCCCCTGCAGTGTTTCAGTCTTTTATTAATGACATTTTTCGTGATCTGCTACAAAGATTTGTCTTGGTTTATTTGGATGACATTCTAATTTTTTCTAATTCCTTCCAGGATCATGTTCTCCATGTCAGAGAAGTACTCTCCCGGCTCATTAAGAATAAACTTTATGTCAAACTGGAGAAGTGCACCTTCCATGCTTCTAAGATTCATTTTTTAGGTTTTGTCATCTCTCCAGAGGGGGTGGAAATGGATTCGAATAAAGTCTCCGCGATTACTGATTGGCCCACACCCAAGAATCTCAAACACATACAACGATTTCTCAGCTTTGCTAACGTTTACAGGAAGTTTATTCGAAACTTCAGCTCGGTGGTCGCTCCAATAACCTCTTTAACTCGAAAAGGACCAAGACAAGGTAAATGGACCCCTCAAGCAGGAGATGCATTTCAGTGCCTGAAACACCTATTCCCAACAGCCCCCGTCCTAAAACACCCTGATCCTTCTTTGCCTTTTGTGGTCGAAGTGGATGCTTCTGGCCATGGTGTAGGTGCTGTTCTCTCTCAACGTCATGGAGAAAAACAGATTCTTCACCCCTGTGCCTTCTTCTCTAAGAAGTTATCCCCTGCACAGATGAACTATGATGTTGGGCTCTATTGTCTACGGTTTCGGATCACGCTTTGGCTTCGATTACTCATTCCCTATTTGGATCTCTGGCTTCCCCTGGACTCTCGGCTTGTTTCTTCGGCTACGGCTTTCTTTGGATCACGGCTAGGCTTTATCAGCTCCTACAAGTGGGTTCATTCGCCGGTTTCGGTTTCTCTTACTGAATCCCTAACATGTGGAATTGCATTTAATACCAAGAACGTCTTTACCCAAAGGTTTATAGGAATATGTACTGTACAGTACCTTGCCATGTTGTTGAAGTGCTTACCCTGTCAATTAACTACTAACTACCAATTGGGTTTGATGGGCCAAATGGTCTCCTCTTATTTGTAACCTTTCTTATGTTCTTACATGTGACTGAAAGACTTAAACAGCATCCTCGCCGTACAAGCAGACAGTTTGCATTGGGTATGCTTTTTATAATTTAAACTCTTAATTTCACATAATCAGGGTAAAACTAACAGCTAACTAACTAATGGCCAATGAAGGTTTCTGGAAATCAGAAAAAATAATCATTTACATAATTTAATTACTGTCAACATAACCAAACCCACATTTTCCTTAACTTTACTCCTGTGTCATTTTTTTTCTAACTTTAATTGTGCTTTAAATGATTATCTGCGATACTGGTTTTGATTCTAAATTGTACTATTTTTATGTTCGAGACGTACTAAGAAGTGCAAATTCATCACAGAGGATAAACCAGCCACTAAACTTCCCATTAATATTTTTATTAATTTTATCATTTTAATTCGATTGTGTCTAATAACATGAAGAGCATTGGAACATTTGGGGATTGTAATATATTTTATTACAATTTGTTAGTAGCATCCTCTTTTTGAAGGATGACTGCCTTCATTAACATACCTTTAACATGCTTTTGATGTCTTTAGTTCATGCAAACACTCTAATATGTTGGTTTTGGCCTACAGTAGATTTTTTAAAAAAATTAATATTCATATCCTTTTGAAATTCCTCTCCAGAAATGCTTGACCTCTCTTTCTCATTGGAGCATGTGAGAACACATAGTGTGTACATTAGATCTACTGTTACTGTCTCAAATCTAATCTAGCTGGTTTCTTTCTGAAGCAGTTATAATTCCTAGGCTATGGAATCGTATTGATGGGGCTGGTGGAGGGTTGTTGAACAGAGAACACTAAGCAGGGAAATCTGATGGCTCTTATTTATACAGAAGGTTGAATCAGGGGCTTGTCCTCTTCCTGAACTTTCATTGTAAACTCCATTTATAAGGTTTTTTTAAAAAAAGAAACACTGGACAAGTCTTTGGTTTTTATCCACAAACAAGTGGAATAATTTGATACTTGTTTTTCAGGATCTCAAATTCAGTTACTGTAGCTTCAGTTACTGTAGCTTCATTTCAAAATCAAAACCCTATTATTGCTAAAAACATTATAGAATTGATGGCAGTCAGCTTCAAAATTACAGAAGTCTACCTTGTTTAATAACAACACTAAAGATAGAAGCAGTTAGGTATCTATCATTCTGTATAGATATGGGCTATTGTATTATGAAAATGCAGTTTTCAAGAATTGCATTGTGCTTTGGGGGTGGAACTTCAAATTCCAAAACAATTCCTTCCTAATGAAGGAATATTATTTCCTGCAACTAATCATGTGGAAGATTTGTGAGAAGGACTACTGTAAATGAACCATTTAATCAAGATTGATTAACCTGTAGAAAGGTCCATTTTTCCTCTTTTACTGTGTGCATTACACTCAATCTAAAAAATAAGTCAGAAAAATGCAGGTGGTGATAGCATAAATACAATGTAAATAATATTTTCACTTTTTGCTCTCTTGCGCTTTTTTAGTTGGTTTAGCACAGTTCTTGAATGTAATATAAAGACCTTAAAAAGAACCCTTTATTGAGACATGCAGAAACTTGATATGGTAAATAGTGTAGAACAGTAACACTGGGCTCTCTGGCCAGTTGGCACTTCTGGCATTATAGAGCTTTATTGGCCTGGTATTGTACGTATGACAAAATTGTTTGAACTTGTGCTCTACTGTTCTCTACTAAGTGGTAGGTCACCCATATGTGAAAGTATTAACATTTAATAAGCATGCATTAGTACTGTCATGACCGTGGACCCCTAGAGGCAAAAGACAGGGACTATAGTCTGGGTGCAAGCGGACTTAATTAATTTCAGGCATGAAGGGTGCCTAAGTCCAAGTACACTGATCTAGATGTTCATGCATTCCTGTGTGACTGTTGTTCCTGCTTCATTATTTTATAGTGATTGTTACCATGTTTTTACTATCTGCTTGCTTGTTACTGTTTAGAGACCCTGAGACACAGTGTAGACTGGTTGTTCCAGAGTGGTAGTCCCACAGACTGCTCCTGCTTAAGGGATATGAAGGCTGGGAAGGGGGCGAGTCTAGAAAGGAGTGTGTTGTTCTGTGGCTGTGGTCACTGTGGAACACAGCATGGTGGAGCTGGGAACAGTAGCTGCCCATTACATGTAAAACTAGGTCATGTTTCTGTTCTGATTCCATCTTCTCATTCCTCAGAATTCACATGGGCACTTACAGTATGTAAACATTATTGCTACAATGTTAAAATGGGTTTGTTTGCTGTGTTTTTAAATAAACGATCATTGTTAAATCGATCATCAAATAAACGTGTCTTGTTTTTATATCTAGAGCTGTGTTTCTTAAATATCAATACAAATGTTGTTTCAAACTTGCTTGAAATGTAATGTTTGACATCCTCTTAAACTGCTTTCCATGACTCTTTTGCAAATGTGCACGTTAGTCTAAATGGGTTAACTTACTACATAAATAATAATACATGAATAATTAACCCAAGATGCATATCACATAAATATAGTTCCTATATTTGCATTCATATAATAACACATAAGTGCATTTAATCTTAAATTTTACCTGCTGCATGTTTTTAACACCTTGCAATTAATTGCTTTTCTCACATTGAGTGACATCTTCTAAATAAGTCCAAGAACTGCAGTATCTCCAAGCCTAATTTGCAATTTGATGATAACACCTTATACAAAGCCTGAAGCAGCTTCCAGGAGACCTGCTGACGTACTGTACATGTTTCAAACCACTTACAACAACCATTTAAACCAAATGTATGTTTCTTTGGTTTTTATTATTTTATATGTAGAGATTTAAATAAAATAATTTGCTCAAAATAACATTTCTGTCACGCCCCCCGCACTCTCCCTCGCTAACCCTGTTACATTCCCAAACCCACTGTTTCACGATCTCATTTCTAACAGAACCCATCACATTCTCATATTCACCAGATTCCACAGAATCTCACTCCCAGACCAATTATCCAACCACGTCCCTCTCCCTCAATATCTGAAGTTCCCTCATGCACCAACCCATGCTCACTATCGAGAAGCCTCCCGTAGAATTCTCGTGTGCTTTCAGACCTTCCTGACTGATCTCCCGGTTCCTGATCTTTACTCCTGCCTTTTTCGACCACGCTTTTTGGATATCGTTGTTCGTATTGTCTTTATTGGATTTCCCTGGTTACCGGACTCATTATTATAATATCAATTTAAAAAAAAAAGATATTTATACAAAAAATATATAAATATCTTGGAGGTTTGCTGAAAAGTTTGCGAATTAGAAATGATGTGGATGGACACTGACATGAAAACCAGACAGCATTTTTTTTTTAAAAAAGGGGTTTATTGTGTCTTATTACTAAATCCTCAACCCCACCCCTCCCTTGTACCCAGTGACCCTCATAAAAATAGTTACAGGTTAAATATTGTAACAAATCATTGTTTTAAAAGGTGTCGGATTAAAACATGTTTAAACACCAAAACATGATTGAAGAAAAAGACAATACAAAATTCTCGTTGAGCTTTTGGCTGTTAGGAGCATTATTAGAACACATGTTCATGTTATTCATCATGTTATTTAAAGTCTCAGGTGCAAAGACATCATCTTGTGTGAAATAAGGTACAGTACATCAGAAGTCAAACTGATGAATTCAGTTTTTAGTACTTGTTCTGTGCCATTGCAACAATGGTTATTTTGTTCTAAAACACACCATTAGATATTAATAACTGTTACTTGTTTATGCTAAACATATTGTACAGTATTTACATTTTGAGTTAGTGTGCTAACAGTCTGCTAGCACCATAGTGCTTAAGTATTAAATTCCAGCAATAGGTAGTCTGTCTCCCTTTGCTGTATTTGCTGGAATGATTGGTGCTGTCTAATACTGGCCTCCAGTCAACAGGCGAAGCACTTTGGTGTTTGAAAACAACTGAGAGAAGTCTAGCGGCTCTCAAAGGTGAAGCCGACAGTTCCAGTGGGACCTGGGAAGGAGACTGGCAAAGTTTGTGATGGAATGTAAACAGAGGCAAAGTGCTGTGCAGCCATCATAAGTCATCACCGTCGTCCGTGCTGAAGCTGCTCCGCCGGCTGCTCCCCTTAGATGCCACAGGGGACGTGGCTGACAGGAGGGGGTCGGTCCCGAATGGTGACAAGGGGTCATCCATGAGGATCTCATCCAGCCGGTGCTCCTCTTTGAGTGTGGCGCTGAAGGAGAAGTCTGTGAAGTGGGAGAGCGGGTCGGAGAAGGTGGTGGAGCCGTCGCCGTGGTCGACGCCTGGCATTGGAGGCCCTGCGGCCTGCTGCACGTACAGGCCATTCAGCTCCTCCTGGTACGGCTGCTGCTGCGGCTGGTGCGGCTGCTTCATGAGGTGGGAGGACAGCTCCACAGCCCCCAGGGATGAAGCCATCGTGGGCAGACCATGAGCACGAGCCTGAATCTCCAACTCCTACACAAACAAAGGAGAAGGGTGTTAGGACTGCTGTTTCTTCCAAACTATCCCTTCAAAGAGTAAGCAGTATTGTTCTGTTTTCTGTTGCTTTTCTTGAATAGTGAATGAATCACTTTGCAAATCCGGTACAAGTACATACTCATATACTGTACCTTACAAGTATCAATCAAAGCAAAGCATGCCCTGAAGGGTGTGCAATAAATACAGCATGGTAGAGTGAATGCAAAATGATCATTAATCAAAATACCGTGGGTCACAAAAAAGGTTTTCACATTAACAAGTAAGCCTTTTAATACTGTTTTTGGAATTGTTGCATGACATTGCTAGACAACCCACTTAAAGATATTGTTGCATGACACTGCTAAGACAACCCATTTACAAAAGTCCCATGGTACTTTTCAAACTCCCATGGCACTTATTAACCTTTACAGTAGTGCAATCAGTTGGACTGGGCTATTTTAAACAGTACCAGGGCATATAATACTGTGGGGTATATTAAACCATTAACATTGTTCACCTGCTCAAAATGGCTTGGAGATCTGAGCCTCTAATTTATTTTCTACAGCATTTTTTGCTGTTTTCTACTGAAGGACTGTGTAGCTGCTCTAGATATCATATTCAGATATATATTTCATAATGCTTTAGCCATAATCAGATGAATATGAAAAGGTAATAAAAGACTAATATTGTCTATTATTCTTGGTTCTGTAACATGTAATTACTTTTCCTAATCAATGAGATCTTGGCATAGCCTCTGAAGTCTATAGACAGTTTTAACTGATTTTAGATTATATATAATAAAAAGTGTCTCTTAACTTGCTTCAGTTTTAGACTGACTGTCATAAATGTAGAATGTTTTTACTATAGTCTACAATTTTTCTATTTCATAACTCAACTTTATCTTATAAATTCTCCAAAAGGTAACTGGGTATTTTATTTTTACACTAAAGAGGTGATAATTCCCCCATTCCCCCCAAAAAACAACAACAAAATACATGTTGTATTTTTAAGACAACCACATTTTTGTTTATACAGCCAATGAGAAAGCCTAAGGATAAATTATATGTTGCATTTGCTGATAAGTTTAAACTAAAATGAGGGAATTGCATGCCTTGCCAGTCTATAGAGTAATTAATTTTACACTTAATTGCGATGTCTCAGCGGGTGATGAGTTCTGTAATGCCTTTGGTGCATCTTCTACAAATATGTCAATAACCGTTACATTTTAATGCATAATTTTAAAAATGGAGCAGCATTACTCTTCGATACTATTAGGCCACATAATCTAATCCAAACCTAATTCCTCTTCTGACAGAGCTGTAGCTGGTATTTATTAATCAGGTAATTACTGCTACGCGGCATAGTTCAAAGCAAAAAGGGAAATGTGCTTACAAAACATCAATAATGAGTCTTAGTTTTCTGTCAAGCTCAAACTCTTTAATGTTGCGGCTTTGGAGTGGCTTACACAGACCTGAATTCGCAGCAGAAGCCTCCTGTTGGCCTGCTCCAGTTTCTTCTGCCTGTTCTCCAGCTCCCTCGCATGCTGCTGCTCTTTCTGAAGCCATTTAATGTACTCCACTGATGCTTTTAAAATAGTTCCTTTGTTCCAGCGCATATCACTGCAGGATGTAAAGATAACCTTTTCACAAATGTGCACATCAGCAGAATTTTTAAAAACTTACAAAGGCCTTTTATATTAATAAGAAATGATGATTTACATGACCATTATTCATTCTCGGACATTATTGCTTCTGAATGGGAATTTTAATAGAATAGTTAAGTATATCTGCAGAAAGTCAATTCTAGAGCCCTTGTATGGTAAAATTAATCCCAGAATGAAAATTGGTGTCAGAAGAAGTAAAAAAATGGGACTTTGGAAGGGAAGCAATATACAGTGTATTTCTGATACCATTACTTCTTTAAGAAATGAGCAGTTGTAAGAATGTCCTTTCTCTCAGAATAAGACGTTTGTCTGATCACAGCTAATAATCTCTTTTATCATGTGCTAATAGCATGGCTGAATCAGTAACCTTCTGTTTAATTTTTATCAAAAGTTCAATTGCATTGCAGGACTGATTTCAATTTTGGCTAAGAATTGCATTAGTGGAATCTTTGTGCATAAACTTTTACTCAAATGTTTGACTTTTTATTTAACTTCTCTTTATACTGTGTGTATAGTATTCATTAGGCTTTAAATATTGCAATGCTAATAGGTACAGTTTCTAGATAAGACACTGCCTTTTGACATCAAAGTAAAAACTTCTTCATCACATACTGTGTAGTGCATTTCATTGAACATTTTATCACAAAGACAGACGAATGCCTTGAACAATAATGGTTTGAAAATAGTATCTACGCCTTTTTCCCATTTTAATTTCAAGTAATTTCATTAAATATTATGGTTTTATGTAATAGGCCCCCAAAAATATATTCAGATTTTTTTGCTTGATTTTTCTAACAGTGCCTGCAATTGTACCTCATTAATTGTGCTTTTTTGCCATGCAGATTAAATAGAGGTCTATGTAAGGTAAATAGGATGTGAACCAAGGCCTCCAAAACTCAAGAATTCTAATATCTGGGTATAAAACTGCCAACAATCATTTACCATTGACCCTGAACTTGACAGAACCCATTTTCTTTAAAGTAGCTTCTTGTTTCTAGCACTAGAAACCTGCCATCAAGGACTGGACTTTCACGATACAATGCTAGCAGGTTGACGACACCCAAGTCTCTAAAGGCTGAACATTTCCAACTGCAGATTAAGAACCACACCTTTTTTTAGTCATAATTTCTTAAGAGATCTTGAACTTTGTGTAACCCTTCAATGGTCATATAGTACATTTAGTGTTAGATGCATGCATTGAAGTTAAAAATATTTTAGATCTGGATACGTACGGGTCATTAGACTTTGGAATTAGTGTACCAAGTTCCTTTATTCTGTAGTTTATGTTGTATCTTCGTCTTCTTTCAACTGGTGGAAGAGTAAAACATTTTAGACGAGATTTAGATGTCTGCCTTATTCTTTTGGGCATATTTTGATATATTTCCAGAGTTTTCAATCACTGCTCTGTTAAGAAAGAAAAATAGTATCCTTCGACTTTTTTGCCAGCTAGCCCTTAGCAACAATCTGTGACAGACAGTAATACCATTGGAATACAGCTCTTGAAAGAAGAATAAGTTTCTCTAATTGGCTAAAGAAAACAAGTCTTTCATTGACTAGTGACAAGGCTTCTTCTTTGATTTTGAAAAATGAAAAATTCAATTTCATTTATCAGTCCAGACTTTATTTGAGGTACTAAAGCAAAATCTGATGTTAATTTTTTGCCCATGTTTGCACGATATACATTACTGCTAATGAACTGATTGAGTTTCAAAAACAAAATGGCTAAAAGGAATGATATTTTCACATTTTTAAGTACATTGGCATTTCATTTGCAACAGAGTTCATCTCAACTTACTTAAATTGTGATTATCTTTCTTCTGTCGCTCTTTGGCAAGAGCACGAGTGTCGTGTTCTGTAAAAAACAATGATAGATACATTAATAAATTATTTACAGAATATATAGAAACTAAGGTAACTGAATGAAGTACTGGGTAACTCAGTTCTGAAAAACAGCTTTTTTCTTGACAATAGCGCACATGTGCTTGACATTTTCACTCTGAAGCTAAAGATCGTTGGGTTCTTTGCCCTCTAGGGTTTGTACAGTAAAGCCTCTGAAACCCTGTTTCATATGATTCTCAAGTTGCGTGCCCTCTGATATGAAATGATTAACAATTCTTTACATTCATTCAGCACTTGTCTCTAATACACATTCTTCTATATTATAACTACTAGGGACCTTAGATTGAATTTATCAATTCATTTGTGTTAATTTAATAAGGTCACTTAACCTCTCTAAGAATCCATTGTCCAGTTGCACACAATAAAAACAGGAAGTGATTTACTTTCACTTGGTGAAGTGAAAAGTTTTGGAGACATCTTTTTATTTCTAAAATAAGGGAGAATGGGAAACAAATGCCATACCCCTTGGTGAAACAACCACAAACATATAACTTCTAACCAAACTTTTATTGTCACACCCTTCCCAGAATGATTGAAGATCTAAAATGATCTGCCTAGACTGATACTGTAATTACTTCACGAGGAAAGCGGTTATAGGTTAACAGTTACACCACTTTGATGATAATTGGAACTGAGCCATTGACAAATAGGAATAAAAAAGGAGAAACATAAAAACTCTTCAGTTTTACATGAGAATGAAAGTAAAGGTACCAATAAAGTTGCAAATGTACCCATGTAGCTCATTTAATTACTTTTTACTAATTGATCCAAGGTGGATCTTTTCCAACTCTTCCTTGAAAGAAGCTATTGTGTAATCTTCAACGAAGCATCTAGGTATTTTGTTCTGTATGACCACAACCTAATTTGTAACAAAGTGTCTCCTGTTTTCATTTTTGATTATGCTTCCCCGTAATTTCCTCATGATTCATGTTTCATCGTTGAATTGCTTTCCTTTTTATTTCTGCCCTAAAATGACTAGAATATTTAAACCATGTTTCAAGATAAACACCTAAGTCTTTTTAATACTGTATGTATCACCTTGTAGCTCTGTGGCTCTCATCTTGTTCCTGAACTGATTTAAAGTAATCCAAATCCCGAAAGACACTAACAAAGGCAGTGCTAGGAATTTCAAAAACAACAGTGAAACACAAATCAGAGGAACCTAATGAGAAGTGCATTTAAAACTGAGAACAGGGTGCACTTCTTTACACAAAGGGTTGTAGGAGTTTAGACTAAGCTACAAGGTCATGGTGTCAAAGCAGATACCCTGGCTTCTGTCAGAAACTGTCAAGATACAAACCACTTAGTTATTTGAAATAAAATGAGTAGGATGGGTCAAATGGCTCATGTTCCAACATTCTTAATGTTCTAATATTTTTCTTGAGATATATATTCTTAATCTCATTATATTTAAGCCACCTAATTTTTATTTTTTCAATGAAATATTATCTTGCAGAAAGCTGAATCAATAATTTTATCTGCAAACTTAAAATTAAAAGATTTCAAAATCTTCGTTATTTCAGTCATCTTTGTCTTTCATTGTGGATGTACTGTATATAATGACCTACATACAGCTACTGTTATGATCTCATATTCTCAAAAAGGTATTTGCCCATCATATTCTCATCTTTTCTAAAATACCCTATTAAAGTGTGTGCAACAATAGGTTCTATTTAACAGGTAGATAAATATTCCCTTTTTAGAATTCAAATGAAATATGCATTCAAATTGTTTTTACAGGTACAGTGTTGTAAATATGTTGAACAGTTACAGGTCTTTCCAGTTAGTAAGATTTCACATTTACAAAAGTACAGAGGCCTGTCAAAACAGTCATTAACACAGCTGGTCATAAAAGAGAGACCCTACAAGAGGTGGTACATAACCAGGCAAAAGCACTGTGGAAGATAACAGCACTAGGCAAGTAAACAATCCTGTGTTACACTGTTCTGAAGATGGGTTTTCAGAGGTTTTTTTTTTTTTAAAGTTTTTTTTTTTTCAAATAAATCACTATTCAACTGTATGTTATGTGTTGTTTTTTTATACTGTATCCTAATTTCTGTATAATTATAGTATTTCAAATGTCCAATGAACGTCCTCTCTAAAAGGGTAGAAATTTTGCAGTCATGGTATTTTTCAAATTATGTTTTTAAATACTGTGTGCTGCATTTCATACCTGTGACTTCCCTTTTTACACTGAGGTTTGTGGGACATGAACCAGATGTCATTCCAAGATTAGTTGCTGTCATACCTTGCTCTCCAGTGTACACATCCAAAATATTGCTGTTCAGCGGCATCTTGTCAAAATAAAAGAGAAAAGTACCATTAGGATAAATGAATCCACCAGAACAATTCAGTCACTCGCTGTCATTGAACTGCAATATGTTTTTATAATTCCATGATACATAATACATGTGTATATAGCAATAATGTTTTTCAGGTGTTTAAGTTAATTTAACAAATACAGAGATAAACAGTTTGTGGCTCCGATTTTATTTACCTACAATCGAGTACAGTAACAAAGGCAAATGTTCATGAAGCAACTGCATTGGGTTTGTACCAAAGCTGTGGTTTTAAAATACTTTTATTTAATTCTCAGAAAAGTAGCCTTTGCCTTATCTCTTGTTATCGATAATAAGTGTTGCTAACTTTCCTGAAGGAGTCCTTAAAATTATTCTACCTTTCCTTGCAATTTAACAGTAGTGAATGGGATTTTGTATATAGAACTACTGCAAGAGGAATGCTGTAGAAACTGTTGTTATATAGACTGCTATTTTATTTTCAATTTCAATTTTGAAAACGAGCATTTTGCAATACAAAAACAATTAATAAAGCTTTGCGTCATTTAGCAAACCAATGTATATTGTCAATACAGTATATTTACTAACACATGTAGCTTTTTATGAGTTGCACAAGTGCTTCCAAGGCAATTAGTCCAAAACCAATCTCACATTCTCATTCTGTGCCAATCTTGCCTCCTTTTGGGTTTCTCTGGGCACTAGGCAACTGTTCAATCTTATTGATCTCTCCCTCCTGGCAACTTGATTAAAGTCCATTCTAAATACTCAGAGATTAACTCTGGTCTCTCATGCTGGAAGTTAAAGTAGACAATTCAAAAAAGTGCCACCCAAACTTAAAAAAACAGGACAAAGTAGCCATTTCAAATAGCTTTCCTCTGTGGTGAAGTGAAAATGTTTCTCATATAATTTTTAGGACATTTACTATAAACAGTGCAGCCTTGCCACAGTCAAAATAGTGTAATTTTGTGTGAAATCTACCTGATTTTGGCTTGACCATCCCAAATATTCTTGACATTTAGTGCATGCTCAGTATTAGAACTGCGGAGAAGGATTTGAGGCAAAATTGCACAGTAATATCTCAAACAGTTTTTGTGATATAGTCATTTAAATTTGCAATTTTTTTATCTATTCAGGCATCCTTGAAGACATTCTAATTTATAATCTACATATGCTGCAGACACAGTCTTAAAGCTATTTGCATACCCCAACTGATTAATTGTTTCTTTGGAATTGAAGAATATTAATCTTTTATATTTTAATATAATAGTAAGAATATGAATAGGACATTGCAATAATAAATCCCTAAGAAACAAAAGGCTAGACTCAGTTTTTCAGGTACAGACATAGCCAGTATAGATACAATTTCTCAATATTTCTCAAATGGAAAATAAATGCTTGACAATATTCTGCAAAAGTCAATGCAGGTTTGAAGATCACACCCATCTTTTTATATTTTGGACAGAAATTCACGCACAGTGTCATAAGCAGACAACATCCCAAAACTGGTTTTACATAACTGATGGGATAATCCCAAAAACATGAAAATGAAAAGGAATTTGTGTCATCGAAGCATATCAGAAGTGCAATCCGAGTATAATAAAGCATCTACCTGTTGTACCTTAAGAATGCAAGGTGTGTCTCATACAAAAAGAAATGGCAGTGCAGTTCAGGAATGGGCAGTGCAAAATGAGAAAGATTACAACCAGCAATGTCAGGCACACAAGGAGGCCATGCTGTACAGCTATGTGAAGCAGTGAGAGGGCCAATTAATGGTGGAAAAGAACTACCTAGGATCATTTTGATTATTATCATATAAAATATCTGTATCTTGCCAAACTAGCTGTATACTTTATATAGCAAGGCACTGTACCATGGAGCAAGGCAAGTACAGGAGACTGGCTAGAGTTTTAACAGGTACTAAGGTATTGAACGGCAGCACCTCATCTTCCACATCATCAGCAACAGACAAGAAATACATAAGTGAAGAAACAGCAGAACTGGTAAAACTAATGTGTTTGACTGATTGCCAGTTGGGAAAGCTTACAGACTGTAAAGGCATGAAAAAAGCAACAGAAAACTTCTGAAGGGCAAAAGAAAGTTCACATCTTTGAAAGACCATATAGAAAAACAACTGTTGCTAATTCCCTGAGAAAAGTCCCTAGGGTACAGAGAATGAAAAATGCTATCTGGACTTTGATATCATTTCCAAAATGAACAATAAAGTGGGACCATACGTTTTCTGTACATACAGCACAGTTTTCTGTACTACAGTGAATAAAAATGCTTCTGAAAGTCAGAATTAAGACCATCCTCCATCTGCACTCTCTGTAATCACTTAAATCCATTCGCATCTGTGTTCTAAGACAAGTTGACATGGCAAAATGATGATGTATTGTATTGTATGGCTAATTAAAATTAATTGAACCAGCGAAGCATCATATAATTTCAGAAAGCCCACAGGGAATGTTTCAGTATCAGTCTCCACTCCACTTTGCTCTTTTTGATATTATGGTTAACAAAATCTGCTTTAAACTGTCACACCTCTGGTGGACTTAGTCAAAGGCTGTAAAGAACCTGCTTCTGCAAAAGAAATGCATTTAGTCTCTAGGATTACAAGGATTTAGATATATTAAGCACATTCCCAACTAAAGAATTTGCTTTGTTCTTTCAGCAGTTCAAGGTGATACAAGACTTTAGCCATCAGCTTCACTGAAAAGTAGCTACTATAGAGGTTAATTATAATAATAACACTGAAGAAAAATTAAAATTACACATCCAATTCAGGGTCACCAGGGAGCCAGCGCCTATGCTGGATAAGGGAGCAAGTCAGGGTACACTCTGGATGGGACACCGATCCATTGCAGGGCACACACAGCTATACAGTATACTGTATAATGTAACTGAACAAATGCAGAGTAATTTGCAGTGATTGAGATGCAGGCACAACCAAAAGAGTTGTGTCAAGAACAAATACAGCTCAGATTGTAATAATGGGGTAGCTTTAGAATGTAGAAATGTTACCCTGAGTTGTTGATATCACTGGTTATGCATACAGTATTACAGTTCTGTACTTCTTAAATCTTTTAGGTCTCATGTATCACAAAAACCTAAATGTAAACATATACAACATGAAGATTGCTTGCTCATTTTACTTGGCTTGTCGTGCATCATATTTGAGCACAGGTTTTGCCCATTTCTACAGTATGCGTTTTTGTTTAAATAAACAGTAATATGAATTGTTATCTCATTAATTGCAGCCCATTTGGTCGTTAGCTGAGAAATTATAAACAGATACGTATAATCTGAAACTAGTTTGCTTACCGGCTTTTTTTTCAGAGATGTAATAATGTCCAAAAAATGAATTGTTTTGCTTTCCTTTTTCATCCTGTCTTGCTTGGTCAAAGCTGGCTAACCCGTATTAGTCAAGTGAAAATGTGCTAAGCTTTAGCTCTAGTGAGGAGTTGACCTTTGACTCCTTCCAGGTCTTTAAACCTAATCTGATCTGGATAGAAGCTCACAAAAGGGTATGGCTGAAATGACCAATGACGGTGTTAATATTTACCAATCCATCCTATAAAAACTCCTTCCTTAACTGTACAATCAGATTTTTACCAAAAAAATTTTAAAATTGCAAAAAGCATTTTTAGCTGATATTTTCAGTCCAGGGATACACCATATACTTACAAATACCGTACATACTGTAGTGCTTTAAATTAAAATCTGTTTTTTCAGTGTTGTAATCTAAAAACAAGAGTACAACACTGAAAGGTATAGGCAATGAAAGACGGAAATCTGCCAATTCTACTTGGTAACTTGACTATTAATATTAATATAAGTTACTTTTTAGTATTCAAATCAGGATGATCACTGTATCATTTCTTGAAAGAAGACTTTTTTTGCTGTCTGAAGCAGCAAATATTTACAGTAGATGCTTTCTGTGGCTAAATTTTAATTTGTTATCTGAGCTTTTCAGTATACAACAAGTAGACAAACTACAATAGGGAGAATAGAAAATGCAAAGGCACCCTTGTTTTTTACTAAGAGGGTGGATAGGAAGAAATAAAGTAAGGAGATTTTTAAACAAAAAAGGGAAAGTTGAGCCATCTCTGCTTTGGCTTTGGCCATGAGGAGTCTGCTTACAGAAAAAGCAGGTTAAAAACATCTAAAATAAAATTACGCTGTACAGATACTTTTCTTAATTTCAGTTGTTTGAGTAATAAATTGCCCAATTAAACACTTGCAATATTCATAATCCCCGAATCAATGTGCTGTCAAGTCCTACATCAGAATCAACAAGATATCATCACAAATGAGCCTTCTGTCCCACAGTACATTGCCTCCTCTCATTTGCAAACTGATATCCCTAATGATAACCGTTTGATTTGTTTTACTAAAGTACAGTAGCAGAAGTGTAAAGAACTCACTTGTCATTGATATTCAGTTTTTATATCTTTATTTTTGGGATGGTACTGTAAGTAACAATTCTCTCATACTGTTATTATAGTTCTATGTTAATGCAAAACTGAAATAATCTAAAATGCAATGATTCTAATTTTTTAGGTTTGCATAGTTTGTGATAGAAAGACAATCGGTCTTTGCCTGTTTCAGCTTGATTTGTTTAGTTCCTTAACTAAGTTGTTTAAAGTAAAAATAAAATTTATGAATGTTATGGCCTCATTATCAGAGTAATTTTTTGTCTTCCTCAGTGCTTAGTAGCACATATCTTGTCATATCTTGTCAAACTGTAAAAAGTATTTTAAACTTTTGTGACATTAATAGTTTGAGTCCTGCTGGCACTATGGCCCTCAACGTGAACATTGTTTTTATTTTTCTACACAATAGCTTCTTACGAGAACGATACAATTCTTCTAAACATCTGCTACTGCTGTTTGGGAACTAAGTAGGTTTATTTATTCCTTTTGTGGGGTGTGACACATTCAAATATGAGGAATAATGAATTTACTGTACTTACAGTGTTTGGCATTATGATGTTAGGTTCCATGCATCCCAAGCCCTCATCATTGAAACTGGATTCAAGGCTAATTAAGTCATCAATAACTTCATCCATTGGAAACTAAAAGGAAAAAAATAATAATCAGTGTATTGTTAACAATAAAATGTCTTGCCCCTCCTTTCTAAAATGTATTCACTTATAGAAACTAATTGAACAACAAACATTTCTTTATCCAACTTAAAAAAATATGAATGCTGAAATGCCTGTTATCTAACAGTTTCTCGAGGGGTTTCAGATTTGGATGTTTGAAGTTATTGATGAACAAACAAAACAAAGAAACAGACATTTCACTTGGGAACTAAACTGATTTGAGCATTTGGGAGTTATACCTCATTGTCATGACTGGCTGTGAGGGTCAACAATGTGACTGGGCTCTCCGGTGTGCTGTTGTCATTTATCGGAGGCAGGTGGCCATTTCTCATCACCGCAGACAGCGGCTGTCCAGGGTGTGCATGGGAGACTGGCTGTCCCTGGCTGGCAAGCTTCGTTCCCAGAGTCACGTACTGCTTCACTTGCTGTCTCTGTGCTTGTTGAATGTGATACTTCGAGTTTTCGAGATGACTTTGAACCTGTAAAAAATACGTTTTTTTTTTCAGTGCTTGGTTTTTCACCAATTTTCAGTAAGTGTGACCTATCTCTCCACCTTTTAAAAAAGTTCTAAAATAAGTGTGTCCTGAAAGGTTTGTAAGGCGTTGGAAAGATTAATGAAATATCACGCTTATTTGTCCAAATCAATTCTAGAAAGGTAAATAAACTCAACATTTTGTATTTTTGATCCCAATTACCCAGCAAATGCTTTCTAGACTTCTTGCTAACTCTTAAAGCATTATATGCTTACTAAGTTCAATTTTGCAGCCTTAATCTCTCCAAATTAATGAAATGAAAAACAAAGTTTGTATTAAACATCAATTAACACCCACATTTGTTGAATTCACACTCCAAAGTACAGAAAATACATTCAAATAATAATGTTCTTTTGCATTTCAGTGCAAAGCAAAAATGCACAGTATTGTATATAACAGTTTTGCAGTGTTGATTTACTAAGCAATAACAGAAAAAAGAAAACTGCGTCTTTCATGCATTAAGGAAAAAAAATGTTAAATTGTAATAATAATTACAAGAAACCAAATCAAAAGGCTTTATCAACGATCAGTTTTGTTCGTTAATTTTCTGTTTTTGTTCTTCATTTCTAATAGAGAAAAATAAAAATATTGTTTAATTCCTTACATTAGGAACTCTGGATCCATCTCTCATCTTGTAGTAACTACAGTCTGTTAGGTGTGGCATTCTTAAACCAAAAATCTTCACTCCAGGACTTAATAATGTGTCTAGCAGGATTCCATCCAATGGCTATCCTCTTGAGTCTGTACTTAGCAAATGCCGATTCAGACTCTCAGCAGGGACTTTATAAACTAACAAGACATCCTAAAAGAGCTAATTGGTTAAAGCTAGGCTATCCCTTGATTGCAAAGCATGATAATTACTTTAAACAGAAAGACACGTTACTTTGTTTTGATCACAACAGGATATCACTTTGCATATATCACAAATTTAACAGGACAGCCCTATTTGGTGTTCCTGGGGCAGCCAATCACTGACTTTCTTTTCAGTGGTCTTCCTTCAGGGGGCTAAACATAAATACTGCTTGTTCTCTGTGGTTTTTAAATAACTCTGCTGCCATTTTTACCACTGCCTTCACTAGCCCATTGTCTTATGTCTATTTCCAAAGACAAACTGTCATGAACTGGGCTTCACAAACAGCTCTAATCTAATTATGTGCTGCACTAAAATACAGCCCGACTCTAATTATATATTTTTTCTTTTCTATAAATTTTCCATGTCATTAATGTGCTAAAATGTATTTCAACAAAACAGTCACGATTTTGGCAACATAAAAAAATCCCCAAACTAATTGTAACAGTACAGAAAAATCAGTTGTAATTGTGATTAATAATTTCACCAAAAGCTCAATGTAGTTTACAAAAAATAATCTCTACTATATAATGAAGGATCAGTAGTGAGAAGCATTTCATTATGTAATGGTTTTTAATTGATATACAATATGTAACAGTCAGATCAGATAGGTTTGCCATCATTGTCAAATGGAAAGTGTAGTATAAAAGTGTTTAAACTTTTATTAAGACTCAACTTTATACATGCTACCTATTATAACCATTTTTCTTTAAAAAAAAGGAAAGGCATTCTGGCATTTTTACACGCTTTAACAGAATTGTACTTTGGTTCTGGCCAAATCTAAAGTCAAATCCTCAAGACAAGCTCTAAAGTCTTTGATAGATTTCGTCTAGGTCTATAATTTCCATAACAAGTTTGTTTCCTCTAAATAATGTAGGAAGCACAGTTATTAAACAATTATTCAATGTTCAACTGAAGTTGTTCATAAAAGAACAATGGTCCTTAATATGTTAATCTGTTCTGAAGGCAATTCCAATAGACATCATCTTAAAACATATTAAGTAACTCAGTACTTCAGCCAAATCCTAATTAATGCGACATAGAGAAGAGATGAAAGTTTATCCGGGGTGACTCGCCTGGCTGAGGGAACAGGAGTACTGTATGTCATGAGGATGAGGCTGACAGGCCACCCCCCACACCTCAACATGAGGAATGAGCTAGGGAGCTGCTACAAGGGTGAAGATGGGGTAAAGGTATGAGAGAAGTGCAAAGAGGGTGCTCAGCAGTGAGACGCTTGTGCATAGGAAAGCAAACATAGGCAAGATTAGAGTTGTTCTCCTTCCAAACGTCTGTATTAAAACATCATTTCTGGAAATAAAAGTAAGAGGTTCAACAGCAAACAGTCTGAATTCATTTCAATGGTGATATTATTCTATTAAGGACAGCATAAGACATCTCATACAATTACCCATATGCTTATTCTACACCCACCAGTTTTTGTTAAAAACACTTTGTACTCTAGAGTACTCTTCAAACTTTGTTTTATGTTCTATCAAAAAACTTTGCATGAATAAAACATATAACATCTGTATTAATCATAATTGATTTGTTTTCTAATGTCACATTTTTCATAAATAACTCATAGTTACCTATTATAAGGGCACATAGAATGTGATATATTGTATCCTACATACAGTATTACATGTATAGAATTAACTACATCATAGGTTTCATAAACATTTTTTCAGAGCCTAGGGGTTCATTTCCAAAGTTATTTGGAGTTTTGGGACTATCAGTTATCTTAACAAATCTGCCCAATTAAATTAAAAGTCTACAATTGTAAAGCAAGACCAGCAATTTTGTTGTTTTCACATTTAGGCAAATAGGATGGTGGTGGAAAGTCTAAATCACTAAAATGATTTTTGGACCTGTCATAACTTACCATGAGATAAAGTCTTTAGGCTCTGGGCGTGCGTTACAAAAGTCAAAGGTTTTATGTATCATTGGTCTGTTGGTCTTTATAAACCTTCAACTAACCTAAGTATTTCAAAAGTGTATTGAAATAAAATCTTAAAATATCTTAAACATTCTAGATATTTTTGGGTGAAGTGGGACCTTGATTCATTTTTAATCATTTTAATTTAGTACATAAATTATAATGTGGATTGTGCAAATGCCAATTTAATGGACCAAAAGGAATGGATAATGAGTTGTATGTGCTCTACATTTGACTTTTGGAATGCAATCTCAATAGTAAAGAAGCTCTTTTGATGAAAATGTTCTTCTTAACTATTTTCTAACATTTGATATCCAGCTGCACTCAATACTTATCAGTTTCAATTTATTTTGATCCATTTAATTCCAACTTATCTCATTTAGTATAAGCAACCAGAATAAAAAAAAAATCTTCTTCTGGCATTCCAAGAGGCTCATCCAGGAAAATACTCCACCACATGATTGTTAAGAACTGGCATTCTGTGCCAGTCACAGATTATATCATTGAACCCTGGTGAACTGTGTTATTTCAATTTTTGACAACAATAAACCTCAGAAGAAATTAGTAATGGCCTCTTTGGCTCAGTATTATTCCCTCCAAAATATTTGTTGTCATTTGTTGTGAAGACGTTTGTTAAAATAAAATTATTTCTCTTTCAAAAGTGATAGTCAAAGCAAAAAACTTCAGAATAGCAATCTTTTTGCAAATCAGCCAGGCAAGGTTTTCTGATGTACTGTACAACAGACCATGAAAAAAGCTGTCAACAGAACCTCATTATTCCAAAACACCTTAAGACAGTTTAGAAATTTAGAAATTTAAAAGTGTAAAGTTGATCACACACTCATTTAAAGAGACTAAAACTGCAATATATAGGTGAGGCAAGAGTAACAACATGATTTTCTTACAGACAGCACAGTATAGTCTAAGAATGGTACCAGTTCCCCAGTGGTTCCTTTCTCTTAGTATAAAGATAGGTAATTAAGGGAACCTTTCAGTGTTTCCTATGTGGAATATTTCAACCAGCTTGATAAAAACAATTCTCATATTTCTTGATCCCAGGTTTTAGTATTTCTTACAAGGGACAGGTAGAAATCACTGATAACATCGCTGCTTGGACTACAGTAGGTTTGCACAAAGTAACATGGGAATACTTGGAAAAATTAAAATAATGTACACTAAAATAATTGACATAATGAAAGTATATTATTTTTAGCTGCATTGCTGTCCCACAGCAAACAAGTAATGATATTAATAAAATAAAAGATTATTTGCTTTGTTATACATTATTTCTTTACTGTTAAACTCAATTTTGAAACTAGTGCAGTCCAAAATGTTTACAGCAGGTATTTTGGAAGCCCCTACAATCACCTACTGTATTACAATAACAAGAAGGAGTCAGGTTCTCCAGGAAATCTTCATCATACAACAGGGTAAGTTAGTTATAAGTTATTTATTTCCCAGTGAATCATTTTTACAACTACAGTTTATCTTGGAATATTGTTTGGAAAAAACAGGGTTGTGTAAGCAGCATAGGGAAAACAAATTGATATTTACTGCTTAATTAACGTATCTTCTGTGTGGAATGGAAGGATCTAAGTTAATATATTGAGAGACTGTAGCTTTCTCCATGATGCTTGTCTTTGGCTTACTTTTCTAAAGACTGCAAGCACAGGAGATATGGTCATTAACCAGTTACTGAACAAATTTAATTTAAGTAATGCTTTATTGGGTAATGCATCTTTAACAAAGCCAGGCCTGTCTCTGAAGACACAGGAGTTTTAAAAACAACAGCTAGAAAATGTCTTTTGTTAAATTTGATATATAGACTTTTAAATTGGTGTGACTGTTTTCCATAAAGAACTCTTTGCCTTTGAATAAGAATTCTTCCGTTTTTGTTACCCCCAGATTAGTTATGGCAAGGTTATATATCCGACTGCATGTCAAGGAGATTCAGTAAGGGTCTGTTTTAACATTTGTGCACTTGCTTTGACAATTTAACAGAAAAAGTAACACAGAAACAAACGCTACAATTTGGTTAAAGACAGGTAATTCATAAAAATATACAAAAAAATATTTTTTTCCCTGTTGGCCAATTAAAATAAAATGATAGTCTTTTTACCTCATTCATAAAAATGTCATCAGGATAAATGCAGTGACTCTCATGTCATATGGCAGGTTAAAAGTATGGAACACTATTTGGGTCATAAAGGTCTCACAACATACATTACAGGAATTAGAGTTACATGTATTTTTTGACATATTATATTTGATATGTAAATATACCTGTATGACACATGGTATAATATGCACACATTTTGGCCAATCATATTGTTACTATTAAATGGCTTCAAATTGTAGCCATGTAGTAGTGTATAACACATTTAGTAAACCTAAGGAATTATTTCTTTCTTCTACATCGTTAGAAAAATATTCTGCCAACAGAAAAATGTGTTGTAGAGCAGTATTTCCCCTCTGAATATATTGACAGAACACATTTCTGCATATATTTCTCAAACATTGATTTAAAAAGGGTTGTTTTGGGCATATCTTCTATTTTCCAAAGAATGAAAATTAATAAAGAGGAAAGAACAAAGGAAAATCATCTGAACAACTCTGATTCTGATAGGTGGATGGTTAGCAAGCTCATACTTAAGTATGAAGATAAGCACAAGCCCAAAACAATCCATCAATTTCATAGTCAAAAGTAGAATTGTATGTGTTGCTCTTAAGTACAAAAATAGGACGGTAGTTTTCTTAAACAAAGGACCACCGTTCCTTAAAGCTTAAAATCATTTTCATTAAATATGCACATTAGGTATGAAAAAGTATTTGGTTTCCAAATCCCTTTAAGCAGGGACCAGAGAACTGTGGGATAGTATTTTGTTACACACAACACACTGTGCATCAGGAGTTTCTGCATATCCAATTCAAAGAAATCCAAATGTTTAATAACTTTCTCCATATTTTTACACAGGAGATGTTTGTTCATCTTAAACAGTTTCCTTGCTAACATTCTGGCAATGGAAGGCTGTGATTGTCCATCCTCACTTTGATTTGTCTAAATGTTTTGCTCGCAGTTGGAATATAAGACAAATTTGCTTATCATTTCAAAGTTCTTTATTTTTGTCACAGATTCATTGGGAGCCAGATTTCTGTTAATACTTGGAAACTCCAATTTGTCCTACAAATAATGTTGATATTATAAGGCAAACAATGTAAAATAAACTTGAGTACACAGCACAAGCACTACTAATACATTAACACTGTCAGCTTGGAAGCCTGTGCCAGCATCATATAACCCCCTCCCATGGTTCAGTGTGTGATGTCCTGAAACAATCCAAATCTTAGATCATGAGTCACATAATATCAACCATGCATATTATGATTTCATTACAAATAAAAATTATTAATATTAATATTTAACTCAAATATGTATTAATATTCAAGTACCTTAGTATTTTATATCCATCGTTTCAGATTTAATAATTTTGGGGGGGAATATTGCTAGCATTGGAGTTTTTTCACTTAAGAACTTTTCTTATCAAGTGGAAAAGAGTTTGGTCAACTGAAGTAGAGAAGTGTTATAAATGTGGTAAACAGAAGCTTTCCTAAATCTGCCTTTGGTGAATACAGTGCAAAAAATATTTTTTTAACTCTAAAGTTCCTCTCTTTTTATAATAAAACATCTCTGAACTTGCTCAAGGTAAAAGGAAAGAACCATAGCAATCTGCCCTACATCACGCAAATATCATAAATATCCCAAAGATTATTATCATGGTATTAACCACAATATTAGTAACATTGACAGCAACCTTTTGTATCACATTAATTCATGTCAAATATATTGCTGAGTCATAATGAGATGTTTATTACCCAAACAGCATTTCATTAAAATTGAGTTTTATAGCAAAACGTCATAATCATACTTATTTCATATACAGAAACAGAAGTACTTTTCTGTTAAACTACTGTGTCATTGTGCCGAAAACAAAATGTAACTGTAAACTCAAATTTCTAATATCTTGCAAAAGATACAGTACATTAGAAATTTTATCCAAGTGATCATTACTGTATTTCAACTCGAAGTTAGGAACATTGTAAGCATAACTAGGAATGTATTTCAAGAATCCCATCCCGCTGTTTCTTGAAGGAAGCCAGGGCATCATCTTCAACAAAATGGCTGCCTAAGCTTGTTCCAGACTCCCACTGCTATCTGTGTAGAAAAAGTGCCCAAAATTTAAATTTCAAAGTTTTTTTTTTTTCAATTTAATGAAAAGAACCAATTTCAATTACGCAAACATACGATGACATACTTGTGAAGGTGAGCAAAGTGGACTAGGTACTCAAATCACTTCTTCAGCTGCAATGGGATCTACAATATTGTTGCAGCAAGGCTATGTCTATGCTTAGAATTACATGATTGGAATGATTAGAATAATAATCTTCCTCTTGCCTTGAACTGAAAATAAATACTGGACGTGCTTAATTCTTTTGAATTAGTTTCTTAGATGTTAAAGAGATGTGAATCTCATGGTCAGCAAGTCCTTGATTTCCAATATCATCTCAATCCACAGCCGAGGGAGGCAGATCTGGACTCAAACACTGTTTCTGACAGGTGGGTCAGAGTGATGCATCAATGAGGCATGTGCCACATGCTGATGCCCACTGCACCTGATTAAATCATGATCAATCACTACCAATGATGTCAATTTAAAAGCCTTGTTACGAGACTTATTTCAGATGTAATATTTCTACCTATATTTAACCATAAATAACCATGTTTAAACCTGTATTATTAGTATCTGCTGTACGTAATCTCATTAGTGACTGATCAGCCATTTGTACTGTATGTATCATGGCAGATTTGTTTGTTTCTTTGTTCATCAACTGCTGAAGACTCAATATTGTTTTGTCAGTTGAACAGAAGTATTATGTTAAGTCACTGAATGATAAATAACCATTTTGAAGTTTAAAGGTAAAGGCAGGCAAAATCAAGTCGAAAGATTATGTAAATCCTTTTTCTCCTGAGAACAACTTCCTTCTCAGTCTAGGTCACCTGCTT